AGTACAGAACTCTACTTCCTTTTTAAAAAATCAACCCACATAGCATTTCAAAGTCCAGACTATAATTTCTCCCTTTTCGATGGATATTTAGATTGCCTTCAAATATTTGCTATTACAAAACCTGTTGCAGTGACTTTTCTAGAATAAGCTCTTGCACGCCTGGATCTGTGCTCTCTACATAGGTCCTTAGATATTGAGTTGCTAGGTCACAGCCTTGGTAAATGTATTTGAACGCTAATGTCAGTTCGCACTCTAAGAAGACCTTAGCTCAGGCTTCCACTAATAGTCTAAGAGTGAGTTTGTCTCCCTACAGCCCCCATCAGCATTGAATATTAATAATATTTTAAACTTTTGCTAATCAGATAAGGGAAATGTCATATTGTAATTGTTTGCTTTTTGTTTTGCTTTGTTTTGTTTAAGGCAGAGTCTTACTCTGTTGCCCCAGGGTAGAGTGCCGAGGCATCATAGCTCACAGCAACCTCAAACTCCTGGGCTCAAGGGATCCTCTTGCCTTAGCCTCCCAGGTAGCTGGGACTATAGGTGCCTGCCACCACACTTGGCTAGTTTTTCTATTTCCAATAGAGATGGGATCTCTCAATCTTGCTCAAGTAGGTCTCGAACTCTTGAGCTTAAGTAATCCACCTGTCTTGGCCTCTCAGAGTGCTAGAATTATAGGTATGAGCCACTACAACCAGCCTTGTTTTTGTTTTTTGAGACAGAGTGCCAAGGGCACAGCACCCTCAAACTCCTGGCTTTAAGGGATCCTCCTGCCTCAGCTCCTGAGTAGCTGGGCCTATGAGCACCTGCCACAGGGCCTGGCTAATTTTTCTTAGTAGAGAAGGTGTCTCTTGTTCAGGCTGGTCTCGAACTCCTGAACGCAAGGGATCCTCCATCTTTAGCCTCCCAGAGTGCTAGGACTGCAGGTGTGAGCCACATTATCATTTTCATTTCCCTAATTCTCTCTGATTAGTTTTTCATTTGTTTGTTGGTTTTTCCTATCTTCTGTATAATTGCTTGTTCATACTATGTGCCCATTTTTCTGTTTTGTAATTTATCTTTTTTTCATATTGATTTTAGGAGACAAGTTCTTTATATATTACAGATATTAACCGTTTGTGGATTTTTGAAAATAGTTGCTCTGGTCTGTCATTTGCCTTTTCACTTTTCAGTATAGAAATTGAAAACAGTTTTTAAAAATCCTGTCACAAAGCCAGGCACGATGGTTCCGCCTGTAATCCCAGCACGTGGGAGGCCGATTTGGGTGGATTGCCTAACCTCAGGAGTTCAAGACCAGCCTGAGCTAGAGCAAGACACTGTCTCTAAAAATAGCCAGATATTGTGGCAGGCACTTGTAGTCCCACCTATTTGGGAGGCTGAGGCAAAAGGAACACTTGAGCTCAAAACTTTGAGGTTGCTGTGAGCTATGATGCCATAGCACTCTACTGAGGGTGACAAAGTAAGACTCTGTCTCAAAAAAATAAATAAATAAATAAATAAAATCCCATGGGCGGCACCATAGCTTAGTGGGTAGGGTGCCAACCACATACACCCAGGCTGGCAGGTTCGAATCTGGCTCGGGCCAGCTAAACAACAATGACAACTGCAACAAAAAAGTAGCTGGGCATTGTGGTGGGCGCTGGTAGTCCCAGCTACTCAGGAGGCTGAGGCAAGAGAATTGCTTAAGCCCAAGAATTTGAGGTTGCTGTGAGCTGGGATGCCATGGCACTCTACCAAGG